GGGAGGGAGGGGGGGAGCATCAGTCAACGGGACAGACAGCACAGATATAGACCTAGAGAACGAACATCGCTCTCTTTGCTCGCGATCTGTCTCTGTGCGTGTGGTTTGGCCTTCTTGAACCGTCTTTGCTGCGACAGCGATACACGGCCGATGCAAGAAAGCCGGAGACACCACACACACCAGCGCAAGCGACAGACTCACTGCACGGGAAAAGAGACTTCTCATTAGGTCAACTTGTCCTCTCTGCCATGCCAAGCCGTCTCGGGGCCTGCCTTCACCCGTCTTGATGAAGGCAGGCCAGGAAACGGCTGGGCACGATAGAGCAAACAAGGACGCATTTGCGGCCGTGGCCCGCAAAATGGACAGACGCACACGGTGGTCGTGTCTGTACGTGACTACGTATGAGTGCGATATATGTGTGTGTCAGGCAGGCAGGCAGGCAGGCAGGCCGGCAAGGAGAGAGAAGGAGAGAGGGAGACAATGTGTGCAAAAAGATGCAGCTGAGCTGCCGGGCAGACGACAGACGGACGGACAGGGAATGAAAGTCACTCGCTCTGCGGGACACACAGGTCGGTGGGCGGGTGCGGTGCATGCCTTGCGCCAATCTCGCATTGCATCAGCAAGCAAGGCGGCTCGCAAGGATGCACACCAGCACACCACACCATCGCACCCACCGTGCAGGCGTGTCTGTCTGAGTGGGGTATCTATCAACAGGGTGCTATACTACACGGTCAACACAACACACGAGATGAAGGAGGACAGGACAGAGACACGACTTGAGAAGGCTGGCTTGGCTGCTTCTTATCTCGTGGACACAAGAAGCCAGTGTTTAATTCCTAGGCCCAGTCCCCCATCCCCCACCCCCACCAGCGTCAAGACAAGACAATACAATCATCCCCTCCCCCCCACTGAGCACTAGCAGGTCACATCACATACACACCAGCATGACATGCACACAAGCCAGCCGCCACGCACCACCACCACACCACAACCCAACAATGCAGGCCACGTCATTCAGTCACACAACGCACACGGCAACACAAGCAAGAGTTAGGGGAATGTTGGTCGGGGTAAAAATGACAGCGTCTCTGTCGCCATGTCGAGTTAGTCACCATGCGAATCTACTGGGTGCCGCCGCCGCTGCTGCCAGTGCTGGAGGGGGTGCTGGGCATGTAGGTGTACCACCTGGCACGCTCCTCGGCCGACACGACCCGCATACCGCCCACCCAGCCACCGCTGATGCCGTTGCGAGTCGGCTCGTCCGCACCTGGACGCAGCTCAATCGTATACCTGACCATCACACCCACACCACATTTGCCACAGCCACACGTGTGTATGTGCCTTCGTGTGTACCATCTGGAGTTGGCAGGGAAGTGCTTGAAAGCGACGGTGACGACAGTGGTGGTGTTGGTCTTGACGGAGAGGACCTCGCCGAACCACCAGCCGAAGGGGCTGTCGCGACGCATCTTCCACTGGATCTCAACAGGGGTGCCCTTCTGCACGCACACACACATCAACATGGCCAACACACCACACCACATGCAGTCAGTGACCACCACTAGTCCATAGTGTCAAGGGCAGTGTGTTGACCTTGAGGTTGCGGAGCGTGTCTGCGATGCCTGGTGGCCTGAAGTAATCGTGCGGGGTTGGCCGGTGCCGCCGCACCTCGGGAGAAACCAACCGCTGAAAACAGATAGATCGACACATACACCACCAACACGCACATACATAAGATACATCCTCCGTGTGTGTGGATGGGTGGCACGAACCAGTCGTGACTCGTCGACGAACTCTGCGACGTTGTCGACCGACACGTACGACACTCTGTACTTGCGGCAGGGGGCCGACCACCGCACGCTGGCCGGCATGCATGACATGGCAAAACCAGGCTTCCGCTCACTGCAGTGCACCACATCAACACATCAACACATTCATAGACAGAGAGAAGCGGATGGATGGATGGATGTACTCCTGTGTCGGAGGTAGGTAGGCTCTTCTCTTCTCTCGTGCTTCACTCACTCACCGTTCAAAGACCTCGACGTCAAATGAGATATTGCCCTTGACCATCTCGCGAGTGCGGCGCTTCCACGTCGGGCAAGCGCACGACCTGCACCGCACCAGCCACCGAACAACACAACACACCACACCACACCACACACTGCACTCACGCCCACAGTCTGTCTCTTGTTCCTCCCTTATTCCCTGCTTACACGTGCCCTTCTGCCCGCCCCTGCTCCGCTGACACGGCCGCTGGCTGGTGTGCCCTCTCCCTCTCCCTCTCCCGTGTGAGCAGCAGTGGATCGTTGGCCATCTTGTCCTCCACCTCACCATCCACACCCTCGCTGCTGTGCCTGACCTTCGTCGCGGCACACTGCTTGAGGGCAGGTGACGGTGACCCGCTGATGGGGGAGATGGCGTGTGAGGGATCCGTCGGCTGCTGGGTGGCGGGGGTGGGCGAGGGGTTGGGGCTGGTGGTGGATGGGGAGGAGGTGTCGGTGACGAGGCCCTGCTCGAAGGCCGAGTAAGCCAGCGGCCACATCCGCTGGAAACTCTGCGTGAGGACGAAAACGCCCACAATAAATAAAGAGACTCTCGCGTGTGGGCGGGCCCACCGACCCACCCAGTACCCAATGTGTTGTCGCACCTGTTGCCAGTAGAAGTCCTGGCTGTTGATTTCGTTCCACAGGGTGCGACAGGTGAGCGAGAGGGCGTTGAAGGGAATGCCCTTCTCGCCCGCCACACCCCCCATCCACTCGCTTATGTCGCGCACAATCGGCAGACTGCGCTGCACCGCCCACACCAGGACGCAGGGCGGCTCCCGGCCATACGAGTTCGCACACCCGCCGTAACGCTCCAGCAACGAAGGCAGAGATGCGTGGCTCTGATGCAGGCAGGATGAACACAGAAAGAACACGAGACAGTCATGATCGTCTTTGTGTGTGTGTTGAGGCGCTCACTCACGCACTCACCCCTTCTATAGCACAGTCGACGGGCGTGTATCCTCGCTGGTTGCGCCTGTTGACGTAGGCGAGATCATGGCCCTGACGGCTGAGCAACGCCGCGGCCGCCTCAGTGCGGCCATACGACGCCGCAATGTGCAGAGGTCCGTTGCCCTCGCTGTCAGTCGCATGAATCTCGGTATTGGTGTCAATCTGATTGACGCCCAAGCACACCACACACACACACACAGACAGAGAGAGAGAGAGAGAGAGAGAGAGAGAGGGAGAATGAAGGCACGTGCAGGTATCCAGCCCACGCACTGTCTGTGTTTGCTGACCAGGCAGGTGTAGAGGAGGTGGTTGCCCTCCCTGAGTGCGTCGTGCAGCGTGAGCTGATGCTCGGGGCCTTCGCTGAACCTGAGCGACAGGCGGCTGAAGGTGGCGCAGAGGGCCTGCTCCAGGCTGACCCGCTCGCCGCCCTCCTCACTGCTGCTCGTGCCGCTATCCCTGGTGGTGGTCGACTGGTCGCCGAATACCACTGTCACGCCCTCGCTGCCCTCCAGGACACTCTCGACGGAGTGGCTGGGAAAGAAGAGCACACTCAGCAGCTGCGCCAACACCTCTTTGGCTGCAAAAGACACACAGCACAAACGCACACAACACCGACACAAAGATATGTGGCAGATCCGCGATAGAGACCCCCGTGTTTGTGCTTGCCAGTGGTGGGCGAGTGCCTGGGCAGTGCGCCTGACAGGTGCAGGCTACGGCCACTGCTGAGGCCCGGCTCGGCTGAGCTGTGGCAAGCCAGAGCCATCCTCGGCTGCGGCAGAGTACAGATCAGCCCTCTGTCTTCAAGATCCGGTATGCAATTGGACGAGTAAACACGCACAACACACAGAAAGGTGCAATTGGGGAAAGCTGCGCCACGCAGTCTAAGCTCGCAAGAGGATGCCGTTCGTTTCACCCTTTTCCCCGACTACTGGAATGGACGCCATCACTGCAGCGGTGATGAAGCCCCCGAACCCTTTGATGAAGCCATACGATGGAGTGGGCACTGCAACAACTCCCTTGTTAATTTGCACTGACGTGACTGTCGTCGATGTGTGTCTGTCTGTCTGTTTTTTGCCTGCAGGTGCAGAATGACAGGTTCTGGCGCTACCTCTGCCGGCGCGAGAGGGCCACCCTCCGCATCCCATCGTCGCGCCTCTCGCCACCACCCCCACCAGACAATACTACTGGACCGTCGCTCTCCCATTCCAATAGCCTCGCTGACCTGCGCCACGGGCCGTCGCAGCCTGCTGTCCCGGTCAAGCGGCTGGAACTCGAGACCCACATGCAGCAGTGGAACGGGCACTTCTTCGCCGGGCCCCTCCATCGGCCCGGCCTGGCAAGAAGCCAATTATCATGAAGGCTGAAGGGAGTTGTCGGCTGAGACACGACAGAGAAAGCAAGGAGGCGTCTGCCCGTCGTCGGGAAGACGATGACGCGTCGTCGGTGCTGTCGAGCATCAGTCTGTCGTTTGATTCAAAGTCGGTCTACACGGGGAAGACGGGCAGGTCGTCCACGGCCGACAAGAAAACAGACAAGAGCCATCGCAGCAACAACAACAACAGAGCACCAGACAAGCAGAAGGAGAAGGAGTTCACGAGACTCTCAGAGCGGAAACAGCAGCCCCCCAGACCATACCGGCCGATGGATCACCACAATGTGCTGTCGTGCCTCCCTCCCGTCCTCCTTGATCGCAATCACCGCCACCAGGGGGCCAACCTGAGCTATTCGACGCTCCTGGCTCTCATCTCTGAGCCCAAAAATGCTGACGAGGCGCGGCGGCAGGCCTTTCTGAAAAGCATTCTGCGGATGCAGGTCAGCCGTGAGATGACTGACGGAGGGGGTGGGGGGGTGAGGTAACTGTGGTGAGTGGTTGGGGGGACTGTGGTCAAGGACGTATACTGAATTACAGAGGTACACAGACGCACAGTCTTCACGCACACAAATTGGCCACACAACACGTACACACACACACGAGACGCGCCACACGCTCACACACACCTACAGTCTGGCTACAGATAAAGGCGTTCGGCTACCTGTACCTATCCTTCCCAAGAAGCGCGAGCATCAGCACGCAATTGCTACCTCAGACACTGCCCCCTCACACACACACACATTGCATTGCAAGGGGCTTTCCTTCACACCACCACATCAACCCGACGTCACGTCACTTGTTGCTATTTGCGGCCCCCTGCGTGAAGGCGTTCCACAGTGTCTGGAAGTCGAGGATATCGGTGAGCGCTGTGTGCGGCGGGGCGTCCAGCAGTTTGAGTGCTGGCGACGCCCACTTGTCGGGGAGCAGCGTCGTCACGAAGTGACGCAGCAGCCTCTTCCTGCATTCCATTCACCACACGCATAGCGCACACACCAGCAACACAGTTGAGTGGACGCATCCTTGTCTCTGCTCCTTCCTCCCTCCCTCACTTTTTCTCGTTGTGTCGGATGCAGTGCCGCTGTGTGGGGAAGAGCATCAGGTCGAATGAGAATCCCACGTCGTTCATACGCTGTGCAGCACACACCCATCATGCCCATCATGCCATGCCACACACAACACACAACACACACCTTACTGCATAAATGGATCTTCCCCTTGCTTGACATGTACTATATGCCCGCCCACCTCGATGAGTGCGGCCGAGTGTCTGAAGTGGACGTTCTCGTCCAGGAGGCCGTGGATGAGCAGCAGCCGGTGCTCTCTGGGGTTGAGGTACCGCACCTGCGGCAGCACGCTCGACTCGTGGTAGGCCTCGGGCTGCTCACTGGGCAGCGACAGATACCTCTCCGTCCAGTGCGTAGAGTAGCCCTCCCTGCACACACGCACCCATCCATCCATCCATCCATCTGCATGTGTGTGGGTGTGTGTGCCTACAGGAATGTGACAGGCGAGACGGCGACGGCGCTGCGGAACACCTCGGGGAAGCGGAAGATGGCCATCGCGCTCATATACCCACCTGCACACACACATACGTATGGGCACACAGACGCCATAATTGACTGACTGCCCCTCTGGATGGACACACAAACACCTGAGCACCCACCTACCGTATGAAGCCCCGAAGATGCCGACGCCCCTGTATTCACTGTCGTTGGGGTCGGCCTTGGCCAGTCCGATTGCCGTGAGGTGCCGTACGCCGTCGATCTGGTCCTCCAGCTCGATGCGTCCCATGTTGAGGTGCACAGCCTTCTCGAAGTCGCGGTCTCTGTTCTTGCTGCCCCTGTTGTCGATCTTCATCACCAGGAAGCCAAGCGTCCGCAGCAGCTGGCTCTGGTAGTCGAACACCTGGACAGCATACAGGGGGGATGTGAGTGAGAGTCGTGTGTGTGTGTGTGTGTGTGTTTGGTGTGTCCAGGCCAGGAGGGGGAGGGGGGGGCCTAGGTTACCTGGTCGATGGTGTTGGTCACATACTGCACCCCTGGCCCGCCGTAGAGAGAGACGATGCACGGGTAGGGGCCCTCGCCATAGACACGCTTGTCGGGCAGGAAATACAGGCCGTTCAGACGCGTACCTGGTTCACCCACACACAGATATACAAGGTTCCATAACACACAAACAACGCAAGGCGACCAGTGTGTGTATGGTATGTGGCCCGGCAGGCAGTGTGGCAGTGGACGAGCTCAGCCCACCTGTGCGGTTGTGGCAGGTGAACAAGTGTGGCTTCCCGTAGAACATGTCCATCAGCCCGCCGTGGACCGCCTGCACCTTCGGCACCGTTATCACGACCGCACCCAGACCCGCATCGCTCGGCGCCACCTTGGGCCTCTCTCCCCCCTCCCTTTTGCCGTCCTCCTTCTCGCCCACACGCGGCCGCTGCGTCGACGGCTCGCTCGAGGATGCAGGCGGCCGCCTGCCCTTGGCCCCACCACCATCCTCACCCACACCGCCATTGCCATCGCCATCAGCCATCGACGCGTCCCCCTGGGTGCCGCTGCTGCCGGCTGTCGGCACACCACCAGCAGCCGGCCCCCCGTTGAGATTGGGAAGCATGCCTGAGTCGCGCAACACCGATGTGGGGTCGAATTTGCGAAGCCAGATGCCGCGGTAGAAGTTGATGGATGAGAACTGGTGGATCCACATGGACTTGTCGGGCGAGATGATCGCCTGATGCACACCTGGGGCGAGGGAGAGGGGGACGGGGGGAGGGGGCGTGGGAGGGGTGGTGGTGATGGGCGGTATGGGTGAGAGGTAGATGTGGTGGTTGCAGGGGTCGGTGTTGTCGCACCCCTGCCAGCAGACGTAGGACGTGTCGTGCGCCACCAGCGATATCACCTTGTGCGTCGGCGGGGTCAGGGGGATCGCCATCGAGCTGATCAGAAAATACGACCGACACACGACAGACACGCGACACAGTCTATACTCTTCACAAAGGGTCTGCATGCCTATCCCTTTTCCCTCCCTCCCTGACTCACCCACCCACCGGTCATAGAGGCTTCTGAGGAAGAGTGTGGTGATGCCTGGCGAGTCCGAGCCCCACAGGTAGAGACCCTCCTTGCCCACCAAAGTGAACAAGTCCTTCAAATCAACCCACTTCTCGTCCTTCTCTGTGTGCACCTGATGCACACACAAGACACAGCACACAGCACAGCACAGCACAACGCACAACGCACACAATGCCGGAGTGCCATGTTGTGCTGTAAGCACGTGTGTGGTGTGGTGTGGTGTCACCTGAGTGGGTTTGCCTGTGGCCGTGTCGAACAGCATCAGGTGCAGCTCTGTTTGCGGCCGGTTCTGCAGCTGCACGAGGAGGGAAGGCCGTCCGCTCGCCGTGGGCAGGCTGACGCACACACACAAGACACCACCACACAACCACACAGGTACACACAAGACGCACGTGTGCATGTGGTGTACCTCGGTGTGTGTGGTGTGCGATGTGTGCTTACTCGACCCAGTCGACACGCGCGACATAGACCTCGTCATCGGGCCCTAAGTCCATCCACACCACTGAAGGGTCCTTGAACACGTCGCGAGCCAGACAATCTGACAACCATCAACCACACACACAACCCACATGTGCGCACGTAGGATAGACACCAGCCGGGCGGCCTACCTGGTTGCTTGCTGCCCTGTCGGACGTCCTTGGCCGCTTTCTCCCTCTCATCTTTGCCAGGCACCTTGATGACGCCCAACCTCATTTTCGCATTGGGGTAGCCCGCTACCGCCATCCATCCATCCATGCAGAGAGTGTCTGGTCTGTGTGGGTGCGTTCATCAAGGAGGTGTGATTGGTGCGGTGTGTGTGGTGTGTACCGAAGGCGAAGTGGTGGCTCTCCTTTGGAACGCCCTCGGCCGCCGGGTTGCTCTTGACGACGTGCTGGTGCACTATGTCGTATGCTGCATGCCATCCATCCATCCAGCCAGCCATCTCATGAAAGATACACACACATTGTGTATGTATGCGGTGGGGGGTGGGTGTATGTGAGTAATGTGGTGCTTGTCTTGTGCCATCCCATGCCATGCCATGACCCACCGGGGATGTGCGACTCGTCGAATGAGCAGAAGGCGATGTAGGATGAATCAGGCGACCACCAGTAGCCTTCAGACACACACACACACACACACACACACATCCATCCATCCACCGATCCATCCATCCATCGTAGCCGTCCGTCCTCCCTCACCCCCACCTCGCAATCGATGCATCTCCTCCTGTGCCATATATTCTGCCAGCCCGGTAGTCCATCCGCCATTGCCTCTCGCCCCACTGGTCAGCTGCAGCGCCACGCCAGGCTCCCCCTCGCCCTCCACCCCCACCACATACACCTCCTTGTCCCTCACCAACGACACCATCTGCCCGTCCGGCGACCACAGGGCATCCAGCATCGGGTGGGGGTCGTCAGGCGGCGCGTCCAGGAGGCAGTACGGCTCGGTGGGTTCTTCGTCTGTGCTGGACGACGGGAGTGACTTGATCCAGAGTGCCTTGCCGAAGGGGAGGAGGATGCTGTTGTGCGCCGTGCTCCAGTGGTACTTGGTCACACCCAGGCCCGACGAACGCGCCCGCTCACGCTGCAGCTTCTCCTCCAACCTGCACATGACGTCACACACGCACCCACACGTGTGCAGTGAGTGCACCGGAACGCATTGATTCGTTCGATTCATGTGTGTCTGTCTGTCTGTCTGTCTGGCTGCAGCTCACGAGAGATCTTCGTCTCTGAGTGCCGTGTTGGTCAGCCTGAGAGGGTCCACAATCCGCCTGGGCACGCCCTCGTCCACATGGATGGCATACAGGTGCCGCACACTGGCGCCATGCACAGCCAGGTAGGTCACCCACTTGTTGTCTGGGGAGAAGGAGAACGTGTTGATGTAGCTGCCGTTGGCTGGGCGGGTCATAAAGGTCTGCCATAGGAGCGGCTGGCTGGCCGGGTGAGAATGGCTGCCAGGAACTTCGGGATTCAGCGGCACCGAGGGAGCTGACATGGCTCAAGCGACAAGATCTGCACAGCTACTCGCAGACTTTGATACTCAATGGACGTGTGAGCGGTGTGGAGCACGTCAAACTCACAGACATCAGCTGCGCGCGACCTTGGGCAGTGGTTTCAGGGAGCACCCTAGGCCACAGGCGAGCTAGGGGCAACTCCCGATTCGTTTTTTTTGTCGGCAAACAGGATGGCGTTGGCAGTGCGCAGCAGCCGTGCCTTTCTGCAGGGCAGGCTGACGGTCGCCCCTCTGTCGCAGCGGATCTCCGCCCGATGGTTCGGTGCGTATGACGGTCAGCCTGTGACGGACGCGCAGCTGGTCAAGAAGGACCCCGACTGGGTGATAGAGGAGACCAACTTCTGCATCGGTCGCATCGGCTTCGTGCGCCACAAGGAGACCGACGACATGGCCCGCCGCACGCTGCGCATCTTCGACACGCAGCTGCCGCGGATGCAGACCCGGCTGCGGGACGGCACCGTCATCCCCGCCATGGGCTTCTACATGGACCACATCGTCGACCGCCCCGCGCCGCTCCACAACTTCGTGGAGAAGCCAGTCCTCAAGTACACGTGGGACGAGACGTACGACGAGGCGTGGGAGGATGTGGAGGGGCCGGTGGGGGGCACCAAGGACCCCACTGAGTGGCCCAAGGCCAAGCCGCCCAAGCGCACCTACCCGCCCGAGATGAACAGGGCCTCCAAGCCACCCCCACCCGGGCAGGGACGGATGGCCTCAGCCAGCAAACCCACGGTAGGTCAAGGTCAGGAGTGAAAGGGGTGGCTACACAACACAATACAACACGACACAAGACTAGACGCTATCTGTGCAGCACAGCACAGCGTGTGGTCAGCGATGGATGGATTTGGCACATGTCATGTGTGCAGGCGCACGACGTGGGTGAGAGCAAGAGGACGGGCATCAAGTCCACCGCGGAGCAAACCAGGGAGGCCATCAAGAAAGCTGCTGCTGAGGCCAGGGAGGCTGTGGCTGAGGCAATGCCGTCCTCGAAGAAGTGACACACATGTACGCGAAATGGATCGCTGGATGGAGGGAGGGAAGGGGCGGGGGCCACGTGAGAGAGGGGGATAATCCTCAAGTGGGATGGATGGATGGATGGGTGCGTGTGCGGGACGGGCATGAAGTGCACTTCTGTGTAGCATATTGAGTCAGTCGGGTCGTTTCAACGGCAGTCTCTCCGATCCATGTGTCGCCTCTCTGCCTGCCTGCCTGCCTGCCTGCCTTGCCAACTTTTTGCTCACACACAACAGCAGTGATCTGTCGTGACGGGAGTTGTTCTTTGGCTGTCACCTTGGTCGTTGCCACGCAGCACAGGTACTGCTGCCGTTGTGAGGCGGCGAGAGAGGGACGCCGTTGACACTCCTGCACGACTGGTCGGTGTGATGTGGTGCACCGGCTGTGTGCATGACGACGGGTGAGTGAACGTAGTCTTGTCTGTGTGTGGTGTGACGGTCTGTGAGTCGTTCATTCGTCATGGGCACGCTGAATGATCGATCAAGGCATCATTTACTTATTCCTTGAGGCACACCCATCCACTCACTCCACAGTCACACGTATCAAAGACACGTGCATTCATTCGCTGTGTCTGTCTTTCACGCCCATTCATCCGTCCATCCATCCATCCATCATGTACACGTCGGCCAGCTGGATTTGTACACGATGTGTGGTGTGTGTATGTGGTGCGTGGGTCACTCAAGCACTCACTCGTCCCCTCGCTCAACTCACCCGACGTTGGCCGACGAGGTCGGTCTGCACTTCCCTTCCCGCACTGAACATGACCCCCAACAGGGACAGCCAAGCGTTGGCATTAATGAATACCCACACATCGACTGAACCTGTCCAGTGCCATGCCCAGCGTCAGGTATGCGACGGACGGGATGCATTTATCCGTTGGTTGGTAGGAAGGTACCTACCTACCTACCTATCTAGGCACTCTCTGTCTGTCCCGCCCCCTCTCACACTCTCTCTGGATCGTTGGCTATGTGCATTGTTTGTCAGGTAGGTGCACTCTCCTAGGACCCCACAGCACCCCTCCCTCCCTCCCAGGCACCACACCACCATCATGCACAGCACCGCACCGACCCACACACACACAACACCCGCTCGTCAGTCAATGATAAATCGAAAACAGCCGCCATCTCGTGATGGGCCCATACCGCTCGCACCGCACCGCCCCGCATTGCATTGCCTCTCTCTGTGAGCGATGGCCGCTCAGTCTTGTCCCTCATTCATTCTCTATCGTCAAAAACTACCCAGGCAGGCATTGCATCCCCCTCAACTCACCTCCAACCATCCATTAATGCATCACTCTAGCTATCTGCCTGCCAGCACACCACGCACCCACCCCCCATCCAGCACGCATCCGCACCGCCCACCAAATGCACCCCCTTGGTGGCCCCTCGTCATTGTGGCATGGATCGCGTCTTCAAGTAGGCGGGGACGAGCATCGTCAGCTTCTTGAGCTTGGACACATAGGCGCGCTTCCTCAGGTTGTCGTAGTCGTTGCGCTCGATGACCGTCAGGATGCCCCTGTAGACGTCCAAAGCCGTCTGCACGGCCAGCCGTGCGCTGGGGTGCAGCAGCGCCACCCCCCTCTCGGCACTCTCATAGTAGAGCTGGGCCTTCTGGATGTAGTACTTGACCAGCTCCTTGTATTGGTCCGTCACCCGGTGCTGAAAAATATCCCTCTCGCTCACGCCGAACTTCTGCAGGTCCTCCTGGGGGAGGTAGATGCGGCCCCGGTCTGCATCCTCACCCACGTCACGCAGGATGTTGGTGATCTGGAAGGCGATCCCCAGGTCGACGGCGTGTGGCGCCGCGTCGATGGCTCGCGCGCCTCGTGAGGTGCCGAGGATGGGGAGGGTCATGAGGCCGACCGTGCCAGCGACTCGGTAGCAGTAGAGGTACAGCTCGTTCCAGTCGCGGTATTTCTGCTGGTCGAGGTCCATGAGCATGCCCTTGATCATGTCCTGGAAGGGCTCGATCGCCAGAGAGGGGTACATGTCCCTCGTGTCCGCCAGGGCGCTGTCCAGCACATCCACGCACCGTCCCCGCCATATGTTGGCCAGCCGCTGCTCCCACAAGACGATCTGATTCGCCAACGTCTGGCGGTCAGTGATGAGCGCCCGCGGTGAGTCGACGAGGTCGTCGGTGCGCCGGCACCACACGTAGACGGCCCAGAGGTTCTTGGCCTTCTCGGGTGAGATCATCTGTGTGCCGAGGTAGAAGGTCTTGCTGTAGATGGCCGTGATGCGCTTGCACGCCTCGTAGCCGAGCTCGATGGCCTTGGCGCGCCGCGTCTCGTCGCGCAGCACGTCCCTGTGGCTGAAGGCCTGATCGCTGCCCACATCCAGGGGCGGAGAAAACCACAACAGGTCCGAGTAATCCTGGTGGTACAAGCGGGGGGTGGGGGGCGGAGGGGGAGGGGCCACACGGGGGGCGTGGCTGGTGTGGGGAGGTGACACCAGGCCGGAAAGGGTGTCGTTTGCCGGCAGTGGGTCCATGGTGAGGCCCGGAGAAATGCCGACAGCCGAGGGGATGGAGCGATAGATGTGAGCAGGGTAGTCGGCCGTGGCGAACCCATCAGCCGTCGCCGTTGCCGTCGCACTGGCGGCCCTCACGGTAGTGGCGGCAGACAGCTGGGAAGGCGAGGCCGAAGGGGCTTTCCTGTCTGCTCCGCCCCTGTGCCGTGCCCGCCGCTTGTTCGCCCGGATGGACTTGTTTGACATGCTGCAACACGCAAACGCCGACCGCTGATCAGCGCGGAGAAAAGACCAAGGACGGGGAGAGGGGCGAGAGACTGCAAGCAGCACCCACACAATACATACACGCAGAGAAATGCGTCCACTCATTTGCGATCAGGCACACAGGTGGGTAGATCTCCATGTGATGTGTGTGCCGTCTTATCTTACCTGGGTCGTTGAAAGGGAAGCAGTGTGGTGGATGGTGTCGCATCTCCGTCGCTCCGGGAGGTAACGACTTTGTCCTGGTCCGGAGCGCACTCAGCCGAGATGGGGGGGACCTCGCGCAGACCCACGTTGATAAATCCGCGGCCACCCCAAGCGCCAGAAGGTGCACCCACCGCAATCCCATCTGCGAGCGCCAGCGCGATACCTGCGGCCTCGGCGGCGGACGTGATTGTGATGCTGCGACTGCTGGTGCAGATGAGCTGGACGTGGCAGGCGGATCTCCGACGAGCTTCATTAGCATACCACTGCGGAAAATGTCAGTCGACGGGCTTCAAAGTGACAAGGTGACGTGCCCATCGACGGACAGATGCAGAGCACAGCGGAGGGAGGGGAAGGTGGGGAGGCTGCGTGTGAGTTAGGGTAGATCCGTTTGCGCAACAAGCCGCGAGCTCAACCCTGCAAAGCTGGCGATGAGAGAACTGCCGGTAGATGAGATGAGTGAGTGAGAATGAAGGTGCGCGTCGAGGTGCCAAACCCAGAGGAGGAGCGAGGGAGCGACCTCGGCCTCAGGAACAAGGCCATGGAAGATGATGAGATCATTGAGCACATTGAGCCGCCCATGTCGCGCGGCAAGCTGCTAGAGAAGGTGTGCTTCACACAGCGATGCCTCATCTTCCAAATCGCACTCAACATCCTCCTCGCAGGTAGGTAGGGAGGACCGGGTGATGTATGGACAAGAAGACAACCGCGCGAACGTCATGTATGGTGTTTGCTTGTGTGTTGGCTGCTCGCAGTGCTGAACACGGCGATGGTGTTTATCGACATCATTTTGATCCAGCGGGAGAACCGACACAACCTCAACCAAGTGTGTGAAAGCGTGTCGACAATGCACTCAGCGAAGGGATATATATGGCCGCATGTCTGTCTGTGTGTGGTTGTTTCTGTCTGTCTGTCTGTCTGTCTGTCTATCCGTCAGCCATCGACGCGTCTGATTGAGGACATCCTTTGTGTCGGTGACATCACTATCACGTCTGTGATACTGGTCGAGTTCGTGTTGAAGCTCCAGATGGCCGACTGGGGCGCCCGGCAGTTCTTCAAGTCATGGGAGCACATCTTGGACGCCCTCGTGCTGGTAGGTATGGCGTGGCGACCGACAGCCATTGAATGAATCATTGCAGACAGACGGGACACGACTCACTCACTCGAAGGCAACCTAACCTGTCTGTATCTTGTTTCCTTCTTCTGTCATTCGTCTCCCCTGTTTGTATCTCTCTCCTGTCTCACTCAGCTCATCTCATTCGTCTGTATCGGCCTGGCGTACGTGCAGATCAAGAAGGGGGCAGGTAATTAAGCTGAGTGAGAAGGGAAAACAAGACAGACAGGGGGGGAGGGAGAAGCGCATGGTATGTATGTGTTCCGGTTGGTGCGGTGCAGACGTCTCTGAAGCAGAGCTTGCCCTCGCCCTGCGCGTCATCACAGTCCGCGACATTATGCGCATCGTCCGGACGGTCTATTTCCTCATCGAGATCAACACTCTCGTCACCACTTACCGCGGCCAGCACTCGCCGAGGAGCCAGCTCATCAACCAGCCACTCATCGAAGCATACCAGCAGCCAAATCACCGCGACTTCTGTGTCCCCGAGCCACCAGAGCAGAAAGGCACCCTGCTCACAGCTGAGCCTCCAGGACCGCTGAGGGAGCTGTCGAGCAACAACCGGGGTGTCTCGGCGGTCTCGGCATTCTCTGAAGTCCCGGAGGTGCCGCCTGAGCATGACGACGAGGTGCCTGCAGTGCCCAGCGCGCCGACCAAGCCCCTGTATCAGCCAGGGTTGCCGCGCACACTGGATCAGAAGGGCGGCGGGGGTGGTGGTGGGTCGCTGCTGGCCGGGGCAGGCAAGAGGGATCAGTGGCACACGCCTGAGAGTTCTGTGTAGGTAGGGAGGGGTGACAAACATGACAGGTCGATTTATCCGTAGCTAGTGGGGTTTCTCTACAGTAGGTTTCTATGGGCAAGGGGCCGATGCGTGTCCGTCTGTGTCAATATATACTCTGGTCACACCAGGGAGGGGGCTCACTCATTCTGCGAGCGGCATTTTCTCGTTTCGTACATCCACACACACGTGCATGCCATGTGGGATATGTCTGTGTTTGTGTGTGTGCGGGGGGGGTGGGGGAGGCGGGGGGTCTCGCGATGCGAAGCATCCCTTCAATGCGGTGCAGCATGGATCATGTACTAGTCTTGACACTGCCTGTTGCTGAGTGGTCGCACCGATGAGACAATGTCATGACTCGTGATGTGAATGCACAGACAGACATACAGACAGACAGACAGGCAGAGAGCGCCCGTCAACCCGCTCCTTACCGACATTTTCGGCTGGATGCACGTGTGACCACTTGCAGCACTGCATGGCTATGCCGTCTGCGTGGATGGATGGATGGATGGATGGAGAAACTTCCAGGCCGCGTAAGGGTGGCATACAAAACCGATCATCTGATCTTCCCCGCAACCCCCAAAGGAACTTTGAATCATGATTTGATTGTCATGAGCTCCTCTCCACATCTAACGGCCCGTCAGCTGGCCCTTCAGGCCCGCGCCAGCGTGGCCCTCCATCGCACCGGCTCACCCCTCAGCACATCATCACAGCCGCACCTCCGGCGCAGCAGCACCCAGGAGACTGATGACAGCACATCCGGCCGCAGAAGAGGCGCCCCGGAGCGGGAATACCTCACCAGAGCCATGCGGGTCAGTCCCTTACACACGTGCCCTTCAATATATCTGCCCTACATGTTGTCTGCAGAAGGAGCGCATGTCGTTCTTCCAGGACGCCGGGTGCAAGCGAGACATTGAGTTGGTGGGTCTGGAGACGCTGGAGGCTAAAGTCAAGGAGGAGCCGGAGTCTAGCAGCCAAGATGATGATGAATCCGAGGACGACGAAGATGATGAGGAATCGGAGGAGGAGGAGGAGGAGGAGGAGGAGGACAACGATGAGGAGAAGAGCGATAATAATGGGGCTGACGGTGGTGGAAACAACCAGAAGGGCGGGAAGGGGGATGGGGATGGGAAGGGAGAGAAGGAGCTGCCCCTGGTCATGAGGCTGCGGGACAGAGGGAGGCGCGGGGGAGTGGACAAGGGAGACAAGGACAAGGACAAGGACAAACGTCAACCGCAACCACCAGAGAGAGACACACCCATGACTCGGAGGAGAAGCCTCAGCCCCAAGAAGACATTCAAGCAGCCGCAGCCGCCCCGTCTGGAGCTCCGGTTCGGCTTCGTCAGCGAGGGCCGCCACCTCAAGGCCAAGGGCAGATCACCACACAGGAAAAAGAAGGCGACCCCACGGCTGACCAACGCCGCACCGGTGGTGGCCAACCTGTCACAGGCTCAGCAGCCGTGGAGGACCGAGTCGGGCCGGTTTGCGTCGATGCAGGGCATCGATGCGGGTGTGGGTGCGCCGCGGCCGCCGGTGGCGTGGCTGCCCACCCTGACGCTGCCTATCGAAAACAAGAGGGACCCAAAGCCCCCGGTGTCTATTGTATGGTCACATGAGGGAGGGAGGGAGGGAGGAAGGAAGGGATGCGCCTTGTGTCTCTGTGTGCAGGTTGGTGATCGTACTGTCAACCCGATTCCACCCCAGTATGCGCCGGTGCCTTTCAAGCAGCAGCAGCCGTCGCCTGAGAGGCCGCGGATCCCCTCTCCATCATTCTTGCAGCAGGAATCGCACCAGCACCAGCAGCAGCAGCAGCACCAGCAAAGGCACTCGCCGCAGCAGCAGCGCAGGAAGGACAGGGAAAGAGAGAGGAGAGATGAGGGCTCAGAGGGGGAGAGGAGGGAGAGGGAGCCGCAGTCCAAGGTGCACAAGGGATCGCCTGGCGGCCGTCGGCCTTCGTCGCCCTTCCGCCGCGCCATGATGGCCGAGACCAACCTGCCTAGAGTCACAGGCGCAGATATTGAGGACAAAATCAAACAATACGAGGTCACTTTTCCCTGTTCCATCCATCCATCCATCCATGTGTGGCTGGCTGTTCAGGTGGAGCGCATCTTCAGTGAGGTGCCGGACGACTGGGGTCTGCTGGCTTTGGTGCTGGGGTTCTGTAAGTTGGGCGTGATAGGGGGGCCGGGTGGTGGGGGCACGATGAAGCAGCAGAAGGCCGAGCAGCAGGTGACCGAGTGGATTGAGGAGAGAAGGCGGCAGGGCATGGAGGACACCGCCAGAGACAGATTCCTTAACGTATGTGTGGTGTGCATGCGTGTGTGGGACGACATGGCCATGGCCTTAAGGGACCTCTCGCTCCATGTGATGTGTGTTGGTTGCCTTGCCGTGTGTCGGTCGGTCGGTCTGTCAGGCGATGGAGAGTGCCGCTTTGAGGGAGTTCCAGAGCGCCTATCTCGAACTCAGGTGAGACAGAGAGACGGACAGGGATAATGCAAAGCAGAGGCGTCTTCGTGCATCTTGGATCGTGTCTCTGGCTGGGCTGCTTGCAGGAATTTCGATGACGAGGTAGCGTAGCGGCATTTGTCTGAGAGATGAAGAGGCGCCACAATCTCACGCTCTCCCCGTCATCCGTCTGTATGCTGTCCTGTCGTATCTGTCATGCGTGTCATATATTCTTGATGGCTGCAGTTTTTCCGTGTGGTTCGTCAGTGTGCGGATCAGTTTGTGTCTCGCAACGAGGAGTACACCAACCCCCTATGGTCGCACTACTATCGCACCAACCCCAACATTATGTACGCCAGAAAGGAGGTACGCACCACATCCACACCCTCCCCAGCCCTCCCACACCCACACCACACCACACCACACCCACACACGCGCACACGCACAGCTGGACAAGTGTGTGTCTCTGTCTGTGTGTAGGATACATTGCGTCGTGAGCGTGAGTGGCTGGAGGGAGGGTGGATGGACCTGGAGGAGAAGGTGGCCCTGTACGACAACCAAAACGGGGTGGCGCAGACACGCGGCGGCCAGCGGGAGGACAGATACAGATTCCCCTCACTCCTCACACCGTACACACACACACACACACACACACATACACACAAACAAACGAGGCCGGCCGGCGACACATATCTGCGTCTGTGCAGGCGAGAGCAGCGGGATCGCGCCATCGACAGCAAGATCAGACACATGGCGGAGATACAGGTAGGTACACATGCGCGGAGAACAACGTTCACACGTCCCCCCACCCCACACACCATGCCATGCACCACCCAACATTTGTGTGTGCAGAGTCGTTTGAAGTACCAGTTGGAGAGTCAGTTTGCCTATATGGAGCAGCTGTTGAAGAGCGGGAGCGTGCCGTTCATCGAGTTTGACGACACACACATGGAGCAGATGCTCCTCGACACAGACGTAGATGTTGAGATGAGTTGACGAATGGGCGAGTGGGGGGGCTGATTCGGGGGTATGGGTGGGCGACAGAAGTGCGTGTGCCATGTGTGTATGGAGCGATGCGCACACCCCGTTGAGCGATGAGAGATTAGCTTGGTCGGTCACTCTCGCGTCTGTCTGTTGCTCTACACAATCACTAACTGCAGTCACGCACAAAACGGCAAAAGCGATCCAGATCAAATACGGCGCACAAAGACAAGATTGAGATCCGTTCTCTCTATACACACGCACGCAAGTCCGCCGCCTGTCTGTCTGCTCTACCACATACATACAGAGATCACGCACCGCACAGACACCAATCCATTCACTCAGCCCACCGCAGCGCCCGCAGTTCTCTCCCCGTCTTGCATGTCTCCAGCCCGGCCACCCCTGTCACTCTCTTGGCCGCTCTGACCATCTTTCCCCCTTTCCGATGCCGGTCGGTCTTTCTTCTCGTCGTCATAGTAGTGCGACGGGAACTCGCCGTCAAGTGGGGCCGCTGGCCGGTCGTCAGAATCGCCACTCTCTGGCAATCGCCCCCGCAGCCTTTTGCCATACCTCTTGTCCCCGCCTAGCAGCCCCGGCTGCCACCCCTGCTTGGTGGGGTCGTCGGCATAGAGCATGGCAGTCTCCTCAGGGCAGGCGTCGGGGACGATGAGCTCCTCGCCCGGCTCGAGCGTGACGAAGGCCTCAGGCTCCACTTGATGCTTCTCGAGGGCAATCTGCAGGTCCCTCCGCGCCTGGCCGAATTCCTCAGCGGCGAGAGGGAAGCAGTCGAAGTGAATGGCCACACTTTGACGCGATCCCAGGTCCAGATGAGCCTGCACACATGACATGACATACAGCACACGAAGAGATGTGCCCATCCATCTATCTGTAGGTCTGCACTGCGCTATGCTATGCTGACCCGTACGGCTTCTTCCGGGTTCATGTGGAGTGTCTTCATGAACCATCGTGGCTCGTAGCTGCCGATGGGCAACAGAGCCAAGTCCACTCCGTCGTCTCCCCACTCCTCCAGGAGCGCCCGCGCTTCTTTGAAGTGCGGACCGTAGGCCGTGTCGCCGGCAAAGTAGATCGTGTGCGACGGCGTGCGCACCAGGAAGGACCCCCACAACGTCCAATTCGCATCCAACAGATACCTGCATCGCATCCATCGATCCATCATCAACACGGCTGGCTGCTTCTGCGCACATACATCCACTGACTGCCTCGGTTTGCTTGCTTACCTTCCGGACCAGTGCTGTGCAGGAAGGAATGTGACGTCGATGGAGTCGAAGCGGATGGTGTCGTACCACTTCATTGTCTGCACGTCGCGAATGCGATCCATATCCTTGCCGAACAGCATCGGCAGGAAATACCATATCGGATTGAGGTGGTGCGTCATCCCTGCAGCCACACAGACCCTGAGTGCGTGTGCGTGAGTGGGTCTGCATGTGTGTGTGATTGGCGTACCTGTGCCCGTGTATACGACGGATCTGTCCCTCATGTGAAAGTTGGTGATGGTCTCGGTGTCGAAGTGGTCCCAGTGGTCGTGTGACAGCAGGATCAGGTGCACCTGTGGCATGTCGTCATACTTGACGCCTGGCTCGTGCACACGCTCAGCTGAATACCCACAAAACACACAGATGATAGATCCATCCATCCATCCGTTGGAACATCCATCCATCAGTCTGGCTATGACGGCCACCCCCTCTTCTCTGCCTCCTTACATCCCAGCACCCCTCCCGGCCCAGCATTCCTTGAGAAGTGGGGATCCGTCACGATGTTGAGCGAATGGCTCTGCAGCAGCACTGTCGAGTGCCCCACAAACGTCACTCTCAGATCTCCCGTTTCCTCGGTCAGCACAGGGGGAGGGAACTTGGTGGTGTTGACTTGACTTGGCCACGGCTTCGGTGGGAACTTGTCAGGACTCGCGACGAACCGGAGGATGTCGAGCCACCGCGGGTGGCCGGGGCTGTGGAGGTTCTGGTTGGGCTTCAGGATGCGGTTGTACGCCTGCACGCTCGATGTCAGCAGGCGGGAGCTGGCGGAGCTCAGCCGCGATACCACGCCGTCCATGGCAGTCTGCATGATCGATCGGCGGCCAGATCGATGAGTGCTACGGGAGATATCTAGAGCAGCACAGTAGCCTTTTCAGCGGAGGCTTGCTGCGAGATCGGAAAGCCCCCACACCTCGCCCCCCGTCTCAAGTAGAGAAGAAGACGGTGTTTGAGGTTTTTCCGAGATTCTATCCTGATCCTTAGATCCCTACCAGTGCAGAAGCTGCTGACAAAAGGCTTCAGACGAGGTCCATCAGCAAGACTTCACGCAGCTCTTCTCTCCCAAGCTTCTGGGGTATGTTCTTGTTGCAGTACGGTGGGATGGGCATGGACACTGCTGGCGAGTTCGGGAGTCAACTGAGGCACCAGGCAAGACAAGACAAAACCCAAGACAAATGGCACCCACCGCATTGCAATGAATGCAGCCACCCACATTGAAGATACTGATGCCATGTGTAGCACCTTGGTTGCCTTGTGTGCAGGAGCAGATGTCGAGTTTGAAGCGGCTGTACGACGAGCGAGTCCGCCACCTGCGGGAGCGCATCAAATCAACATATCACGACCTCAAAGATGACGATACCATCAGTAAGGCAGCCGGCTACACAAGCCGTATGTATGATAGCCATGGAAGCGGCATGCTGCTCTGTGTTGCTTTCTCCGTCCGTCCGTCCGTCCGTCCGTCTGTCTGCCTGTCTGCCGCCAGATGCGCTGAAGCGTGATCCTGACAATGCCGAGTTTGTGCAGCAGGTAGAATGGACGGCAATATATTCACCGCATCAGGCATCTCTGTCTGTATGTGTATCCGCGTGTGTGTGTGTGCAGAGGATGAAGGAGATGGTCGAGGACTCGCTCGCAAACGAGAGGGAGGCGCAGGTCGAAGGCCTCATGCAGGTACAAACACACAGACAAGAAAGAGATGGGGTTTTACCAACCGACTTGCTGTCCATTCATGCATGGCCTTCATCAATGCAATGCAGAAAGTAGCTTCTTTGGAGGCCCGGGAGCATGACGTAAGCCAAGGACCATCAACAAACACACACTGACTTGAACATTTGGCTGTCTGGGTGGCTGACCTTTTTATGACCGATCAGCTGGTTCGTGCTCTTGAGGCGAAGGAGTCCAGCTTCTCTCAGTCGCTGCAGGCCCTCAGATCGCAGCTCGCCACTGGGGGTACTCCCCAGCCACACCAGTACCCACAAAGCCCGCCCAGAGGAGCCACACTCACCAGAACACCCGTGAGTGAAGTGGAGAACACAGACCTGTCCGCGCGACTGTGGTACCTACCTGTTCATCATTGTGTGCTGTGCGTCCATTAGGGTGGTACAGTGAGTCCCGGTGCTCGACCCGCCCCACCGGCAGAGCAGTTCCAGGAGCTCGTGACTGAGTTGCAGTCACTGCAGCAAGTCTGCGCTGCTCAGGTTCTCAGGCGCCACCGCGGCCATGCCATGCACAACAATCACGGCATCTGTCCTGTCGCCTTGCTGTGTGTCAGCGTGCGGATCTCGAGAACCTTCAGAGCGAGTGTGAAGACTACAAGAGAAGGTGAATGAGGATGACCTACCTGCAAATACGTGGGTCCTGATGCGATGCGTGTCCTGTCTCGGCCCCTCAGGTATGAGATGAAGGTCCGCGAGCGTGGCGCCACCCAGGATGAGATGCTCGCATCCGCTCAACGAGAACAGGAGCTGCAGACCAACGTATGTACGTGCACACAAATGTATGTATCCCTGAAGCCATCCATTAGAGACACATCCTCTTCTCATCACCAATCAGATTCGCGACAAGACTCGGGAGCTGGGTGAGTGTCAGCAGCGACTGCGGCACGTGCAGGGCGCCCTCGAGCAGTCGGAGAAGGACAGGCTGGAAATCAGACAGAAATACGTCGAGGTCGGGGAGAAATTCGAGAGGTAAGTCACTCATCCAATCCACACCTAAGGCGGGGCGCCTCACCGTCCAAGCGGGTGGGTTTATGTGTGCAGGTTCATCCAGCAGGAGGAGCGTGAGAACAGCGAGACCGTGCAGCTGCTCGTCAAGAAAGTCAAGGCCGCTAAGGTATTTACCTACCATACACACACACACACAAAGCCACAGGTGGATGTGTGGAATGTGGATGGCTGCGTTTGTGCAGACTCGGCTTGCCCAATACAAGAAGGACAGGATCAAGTCCATGGTCAGTCAGGTGCATGGCATGAATGGATGAGTGAAGTTGAACCACCTGCATGGTATGCTGACGGCCTACGGCTATCGTGTCCCATGCAGACGGAGATCAGCACGCTCAAGAACCAGTTGATCGTCAGTGAACAGGAGCGGGAGAATCTACTCATACAAATCAAGGTGGGTCGGGTCAGTCAGACACACCGATGCACCGATGATGCACAGATTTCTCGCCTTTGCTCTGTGTCGGCATCAGAGCAAGATCGAGCTCGAGCGCCGCGTTCATGTGTTGGAGGCCGATAACCAGGCCAAGGCTCGCGAGCAGGAGCATCTGATGAAGCAGCTGGCGCTCGCCGAGGCGCGCAAGGACCAAATCCCGCTCGAAAAACACCAATCCATCCTGCAGGCAAGACATATATATGAGCAGCTTCCAGAGACAGAGGCGTGGATGTCATGTCTGTGTATGTGCGGTATATATTGTCTTCGCGACTGTAACAGGACCGCTTGACGACTCTCGACTCTCAGCATCAGTCTGCGGTTCGCATGCTCCAGGACCGATTCGACCTCCAAGTCAAGGAGAAGGTACGTTGTGAGCGTGTAACTGCTGAAAGCACACATGGGCACACACATCCATGGACGTGACGGTGTGTGCCCCGATGGATGCCAGATCCGTGAGGCTGAGGAGCGGAAGCAGTCTGAGTTCTCGGCCACGCTGAGCCAGATTCGCCGTGGTGTGCAGGCGCTTGAGGCGGCACGCGACGAGGAAATACGACAGCGCAAGACGGCGCAGGAGGAGGCCGATCGGTGCATAAGCATCCGTGTCATGTCATCCACACACATCATGTGCATGGTTGCATGGTGTGGTGTCTATCTGTTTGTGCATGGGCTGGGCAGCATGCGTGCCGCCATTACGAAGCTCGAGGGACAGAACCTCGAGAACATCAGGCAAAGGAAGGTACGTAGGTGGGCAAAGAACTAAAGCACAGAGAGACCCAACGACCAGCGGTGCACATCACATGGACGCCCACATGCTGTCAGGCGCTGGCGTCCAATCTTGAGGAGGCCTCGGCCAACCTGACCAAAGTCCGCAACATCCTGCAGGACGAGAGGGCCAGGAGGGAGGTAATATCTTGAATGAATATGCCTCTACATGCAGCACAGCGGCAGACGCCTGTTTGTCTGTCCTTTGGTTCAGCAATGTGAGGAGCGACTGAAGCGTGCCGACATGGAGTGCACGTCCTCGAGCTTCCAAATACAACACGTAGAGGAGACCGCAAAGTCAGCCACACGAACACTCACACTCAATCCATTCGCGCGTCATCATGCCTACCTTTCAATGATGTCGATGTCGTTGGTTCAGGCGTCGCGAGGGCGATCTCGAGCGCCTTCGCGGGGACTACGATGCGCTCCGCACTGACCACCAGCGGTTGCAGGGCGAGACGTCCAGACTCGTCCGCGAGCTCCACGTCAAGGAGGCCGCTGAGGTCCGGGTCGCTGCACTCGAGACAGAGGTAAGTACTTACTGGCGAGACGAGACACAACGGGAGAAGGCGGTCCGTACACCTCTGCTGTTTGTTCTTTCTGTGTGCAGCTTGAGCAGTACAAGCATCAGGCCAACACGATCCGAAGGTGAGCAAGCAGGCTGCTTCATTCCGTCCGTTAGTGTGGTTTATCCGTCTCCATCCATAGCCTTCGCCGCGTCGTGGCTCAGATGTCGCGCCTCACACAAGGTAGGTCAGCGCGGAAGACACAGACCGAAACAACGGCGAAAACCCCGCTGTCTTTCTGTCAATCTCTTTCGCAGTGCTAAGCCACGAGTTGCGTAAGGAGCTGGTGCAGCTCAAGTCGACAGCCATGCAGCAGATCAGCGGACTCGAGACATTCTGCGACGCTGCCATCAACAGACTCATCGCATGGTGAGTCAGTCAGTCAGCCCACCACACGCTCAGCCCGTGAATGCGATGCGTACATAAAGACGCACACACTCTTTTGCATTGCACGCCCTTCCTTCTCTGCAGTCACCGTGAGCGCGTCTCGCTTCAAAGCGTAGGCAGACAAGAGAACAATTCCTGCACACAGATTCCTGTGTCTGGATGGGATGCCCCTCTCTGTATGTCTCTGTGTGTGCAGGCTGAGCATCGTCTCGAGGCGGACACCCTGTCGCGCAACAACCAGCAGCTGGAGCAGCAGCTGGCCGAGTCACAGTAAGGGCCAGGCACTGCCAACGCCTTTACGTATGCGGTCATTGTCCATCCTTGCTTCCTACAGGTCTCGTGAGAAGGAGCTGACGCAGCAGTGCGCTCTTGACCGCGAGGACGCCGACAACACCCGGCTGCACCTCGACAGAGTCCTCACGGCCGTCTCACAATACATACCCGTGTCGGAGAACATCAAAGAGGTACCTCACTCACAGCACTCACTGGTTTGCCACAATCGACGCTGAACCGTGGCTGTGCGGACCTCGCAAATCAATCAGGGGATGGTGTCGCCTCGTCGCTGTTCCCATCCTGAGTCGATCCTGCCATTCAAGGTGAGTCATTGATTCATCTATCCACTCACCGCCCTGACATCAATCTCTGGGGGGTATTCGTGCTGGTGTGGCGTCCTTGACTGACAGGAGGAGGTAGCTCGGTGTGTCAGTGAGATGCGGGAGAAGGTCCAGACACAGTAAGACACAACCCATAAGGACGAGAGATTAAGTGGTCAGTGCCTTTGCCGTCTTCTCATGTCTGTATGTCTCAGCTACGAGGAGATAGTGGCGCAGAAGGAATCGTATGCGACACATTAACACACAAACAGTGTAATGTGAGTTGGAATGCTCCTGTGCATGTATGTATTTCATTCATTCAGTGAGCGTGCCAGGCTCGACGAGTCTCTGAAAGAGGAACAGCTGCAGGTAAGTAGCACACGAGCATCCACCATGCAGTCAATGCACGTCGGCCGCCCGTCTACCATCAGATTGCCAACCAGGAGGGCGCCATCCAGCAGCTCCAGCAGCAGACACAGGTCACATAGACCGACACACCCAGTAGGAGGCCTTCTCTCCCACAATGTGTGTGTATGTGCGGTGTGTGTTCAGGCGCTTGAGAGTCGCATCGAAGAGTTGAATGAGGTGGAGCAGAAGGCCAGTCGGCTGCAGGAGAGGCTCGAGGAGACCGAGAACGAGCTGCGCTCCGAAAGAGACAAGATGGCCGAATCCCAAAAGACATTTGAGAGGAGATCGGTCAGTCAGTCAGCAGGGAGCAGACGGGCGAAGGGCAATCTACTCTGATGCACGTCTTGTGTCCCCCACTCCCTCACATGCAGCAAGAGGCTCAGATGTTGGCTGAGATGAACCAGGCGGACGCACAGTCAAGCATCAAGGAACAACTCAGACAGGTAACTAACCAGCCCGACCACGAACACACATACGTACGGCCGACCGTGCGCTTCTTTGTCTGCTCAGCTCAACAAGGAGCTTGGCCAGCTGCAGACACAACACCACGTGAGTCTAGGAGACACAGCGACCTCATGCACTGTCGGCTCTTGCCCACATGGGCATGCAGGAGGAGTTGGCTCGCCGCGACAAGGAGCTGAGTGACGTCATGACCCACAGACTCAACGAACAGAGACGGGACGCCGAACAGAGAGAGCAACAGCTGCAGGCAAGATTACATATACGTGGCAAGGATACCGACAGACAGGCAGGTAGCTGGTCCCTTGTGTGCCCGTGTGTGTGTCCACTTCAGTCTACCGTGGATCAGCTCACACACAGACTCAAGGACAGCGACCAAAACCAAAAGTGACCAACGACACACACACAGACACACACGCTCATGTGGATGGAGTCATGTGTGTCAGGGCCACACGGAGTACCACAGACGCCTCCATCAAAGAACTCAAGGACAAACTTGCCGTGAGTTACCCACCCACCCACCCTTAACACGCACCGCGCCCATCTATCCATTCCATCGATCCCCTGTCTGTCTGTTGCCTCCAGGCCACGACGCGCGAGCTGGACAGCGTCAAGCGCGACAAACGTGCCCTGGAGGTGCAGCTGGAGCGTCACGCCCAGGACCGTGCCGGCGACGTCTCCATGGTCGCTCAGCTCAAGCGGCAGGTCGACGAGCTCAAGCAGACACACAGAGAGGAGCTGGACCAGCTAGACCAGGCCAGACGCAAGGCCGTCAAGGAGCGGGAGGACGAGATGAAGAAGGTCCACGAGGCCAAGAGACACCAGCTGCGGACAGGGGCCGCCACAGATGAAGGGCGGGGCGGCTCACTCGTTCCCAGTGAGGGCTCGGCCGCAGGGTAACCTCACACACATGTCCGTCTCTCCAGGCATCACCCCGTGTGCCTTTCCTCTGATTTCTTTCAGTGGGCGGCAGGGCAGTGCCGCCATGGCCCGTGTTGATGCGGCCATCGAGCGCAGCAGTCTGCGACGGGCCGATTCGAAAGGCTCGGCGCTCTCGGCGGTGCAGAATGTGCTGCAGCTAGCACGGCAAGCCACGTTGAAGGCTGAAGAGGCCAGGCCTTCAGGCAGGCCGCCCCTGTCTCGCCCGACGTCGCCTCTGCCGCCTGCTAGGGGGGAGAGGGCTCCGATGAGTCCGCAGAGCGCTATGTAGCGAAGAATATGGGTGGCTGGGTGTCTCTGTCTGGTTGCTGGGGCGGGGTGTGTGTGTGTGTGTGTGTGTATGATGCGAGTGGACGACCAAAGAACAGAACACACACACGTCGATCGATGGTTTTCCCGTTGATGTCTACAGCAAACTTCGATCATTCATCCACTTTTCTTCTCATAGATGACGAAATGTGAATCCAGCACCACCTCCCCACGCACCCCCTCTGTCCAGAAGCTGTCGAAATGCCTTATGGTCTCTGTGTAGCCATGCGTTCGCAGCCACTCCCCCACACGCCCCTGAGCAAAGCTGCCCCTCAGCAGCACATCCCACACCACAAAATGGGTAATCGGCAGCTGAGGCACTGCTGCTACTGTCCCGCTCGATGTGTGTGGAAACCGCCCAGCCAGACACTCAGCCCACTCTGACCTTCCCTCACACGTTGCTACGGCGCCGTGGTGCGCATCTGTTGTCATATTCATGGCGCCATTGACGATGTGCTCGAGGGTCTCAATGGGGTGGGTGTAGAAGGTATCTCTCCAGTTGGCAGGGAGGCACTGTGGGTCGACGCGCGACGAGCAGTCGAGTAGGTGCATGGCGATGTCGGGCCGATGGACGAATGAGTTGAAGGGTGTGGCGTGGCAGGGCGTGAGGAACAACACCGACGGCCGGGGGGAGGGCGGCAGAGAGCGGATGTATCCCATGACCTTCTCGGCGCCCTGCATAACATGACAGCACACGAATAAATAAAACAAACAGCACATGAGATAGATAAGCCGTGTTTGTTATTGTGTCTGTCCGTTTGATTAGTTAGTCACCTGTTGGTGGACGAACGAGAAGAAGGCCGCGGCAATGATCTGGACCGCAAAGATCACTGAGAGAGCCACACGCACCACCACCTTTCGCCACGATCGCCCTCGCATGACGGTCTGCGCCACATGGGAAGTGTTCTTGTTTTCTTTGCCGTTGGCCTGAGAGCCCCTCTGCCGCTGCCTGATGGATGTTGCATCGCCCCCACCAGCGACGGCCCTTGTGCCAGCGACGGCCCTTGTGGCAATATCAGTATCTCCCGACGCCGCCACAGTAGCATCAGCACGTGACCCTGGCTCCTCTGCCCATTCCTCCAGCCGCACCATGCTGATTGCTGACCACATGTAGAGGTACGGCAGGTAAGGCATCAGGAAGCGAAACTCCTTGTGAGATGCTGTCGACAATGCGCCGATGCTCAGCAATACACCCAACACGATGTCCCTCGAGAAGGACGATGCTCCTTCGGCAGTAACGGCAAGCCAGGCGCCCACGATGCAGAGCGGATAGTAGGTCAGCAGCACCGCCCCTAGCCCATCAGCGAGATACCAGTAGGGTGGATGCGTGCCATAGAATCGGCCTCCATCCAGCTGCACATTGAAGCGCCAGAAGTTGAGCATTGGGAAGGTCAGTCGCCCGTATAGCCTCGAGTCAACATAGACCGACACACAGAGTCCACACACGCCCACCAGCAGCCCCTGGCCTATGAACACAGCGAGGTCAGCAAAAGACCGCCACTTATCCCTCTTGTCTGTAACCATTTGGCTCCCCAGTCGCAGGGCGTGCGCACCATAAATGACCACCCACATGACGGCTGCCGTCGGCCGAATCACCACAGCCACAGCCGCACACAACAGACTCCCCAACAACGACACCTGTTTCCTCATGCCAGCGGTGGCATTGGCCGCCCTCAGCCACATGTGCATAGCAGCCGTCATCAGAAAGACCTCCAGACAGTTTGAGAACGGCCGGGGGCCGCAGAAGAAATCAAACCACCCCAGAGCACAGCACCAGAAGCACCAATCGCCGACTCTCCGACCAAACAGCTGTTCACAAATCCCCACAGTGAGGCAGTTGGTGACAGCGGCGAGGGCGCCCTGCATGAGTCTTGGTGAGTAAGCCACGATAAAGGGAGTGTCCAATTGCAGCAGCTTGAGTGCGGCGAAGAGCATGCTGATGAGCAGCGGGTGCAGATGGGATCTGAGTGCGATGCACGGCTCCCACTCCCATGTGGTGTAGCCGTAGCCGAATGTGAGGCGATGGGCGACCTCAGGGCCCTGCCAGTGCTCATCGGGGTTGAAGGACGTGCGCAGAACCAACGCATTCACCACCCGTAGCGCCAGAAAGAATGGCAAGGATTGCATCAATCGGATCTACGCAAGATCAGCATCGCATCGCTACATCCCATCGCATGCGATGCTTGAGCCGTGCAGGCCGCTAGGGTGCTGCCTGAAACCGATCGCTTCTGCGCCGAGAGAGAAGGGAGTGGATCGTTGGGGGGTACTGCTGCCATAATTGATCTGCCCAATGGCATCTGAGTTTGCCCAGATCCGCGCCTCCGAACAGTACAGGCTGCTGCTGCAGTGGATAGCCTTCTCATTGAATGAGCCCGTGGAGTCACCCAACTTCCAGCAGACCGTCAAATTCGCATACCAGAACCTCAGCAACCACCAATATCCGGTGTGTCAGCAACCGGCATTCATCAATCGTGGCAGAAATGGCTGGCCTGTGCATCCATCTGTGTGTGCGTCTGTGCTTGCCGTGTGGTTGTTTGTATGCAGGACACCGATGCGAACGCTGTGGAGCGGGAGTTGGCAGGGTCAGCGGATGAACTTGCTTGAAGTGAATCTCTCCATCTCTGCGTGTGTGGTGCATGCGGTGTGTTGTGTTGTGGCATGGCATGCAGGGTTCTCACGAAGCTGCGGCATCATGCTCAGGTGTGTTAGCGATGGATGGATGGATGGATGGAGCCACAAGAGGTGAAGAAAGGTTGGATGGATGGATGTGTACGTGTGTGCAGGACGCCAAGGCAGACCGGCTGGAGCAGCTCTACGGCGAGCTCGCCAAGAGCAACGTCCTCTCGACGGCCACGCGGGACATCCACCAGTCGGTGCTGCGACTGCTGCTGTGTCTGTCCAACCGACCTCTCGACTCGTCCCTACACTTCACGCCGCAATCCATTCAGCTGGTGAGTGACAGACAGACAGATACACACGCACACACGGAATACACTCATCATACCATGCCTCTGCCGAAGCTTCCATCCTTTGTCTGTCAGCCCGACCCCCTTGCAGACGCCGAGAGGGCGGCGTCAGCTGAGATGAGGGCCTTCCTTAGACGCGAGCAGGACGGCTGGCGCGACGAGTGGGAGGGGGCGGGGGAGGGGGCGGGGAGTGAGGAGGAAGACGGCACCGACAGCAGTAGTAGTGGTGGTAGCGTTGAAGGTGCTGAGGGCGACGAGGCGGCCAAGAAGGAGCCTGTGAGTGTTGGTGTGGATGACGGTTGTCGTGTGGTGGAGGTGACGTCCACTGTGGCGCCCGTAGTCAGTAGAAGAAAACCATACCCTGATGGGGTGAGTGAGGACAGACAGGAAAGACATACATATTCATTCACTCATCATTGGTGCCTTCTTCTTACTTACCCACCTCAGAGCGACCTGGCCGACATCTACAGGGAGGCCTTCCCCGAGCCCCCCGAGTCAGCCCTCTCCCCATCACCCCTCGCGCCCCTTTCGTGCCGATCATCCCTCACCACATGGCCGGCACTCCCACCCCTCCCATCCACGGCAGCCACTAGTCGATGGGCCGGCACTCTCACCGCTCCGGAAGCATGGGTCGTGCGGCAGACGCTCTTCATGCTGGGCGGCACGCAATGCGACCTCTACTACCCCAAAGGCGAGGTAGCGAGATGGGCCAGGCGCAAGTGGCGGAAGGGCGTCTTGGTGTGGGAGTCGAGGCCACTGCAGGTGCAGCGCTACTCCCCAACGGCACTCAAGGGCATGCTCGAGCCGCTGCTGGCTGGCGGCACGGCAGTCACGCTGCTCAAGGCCCTGCTCGGCCGATTGGCCGGTCGGGGCCTGAGGCGGGCCGTCCCGTCTTCGCTGATGGGCGCGTACCGTGACCGTGACGATGACGGTGAGGACTGTGACACGGCCGCCATGGCGGAGGGCATGTGGGGCTTGACCATCCAGGGGTGCCTGGACGGTGTGCGAGAGTGCGTCGACCAGTGGGATGGGCAGCTCACGCAGCTGCATCGACAGCTGACGGTCTCTCTGCAGGTGAGGTCAGAGAACACCAAAGGGGACCATTCTCATTTCCGTCTGCACGCCCGCACCCCTTGATGTATCCTTCCTCCCTCTTGTGCAGCGCGTGTTGCCGGAGCCACTGTCGCTGGGCGGGTCTGTGAGCCGGCGATCCACCGAGGCAACGACCACTCATGCCACAGACGAGGAAGCGCCATCGCAGCAACAGACTGCCGGCCCCCTTCCCCCATTGCCGCCCACACGCACCCCACCCCCTCTGCCCAGCCTGCTGCACCTCACTGATGCCGTCCAGCGACAGCTGAAACTGATGATAGCGGTGGCGACCTTTGCTGAGGACCTGATCGTCGAGACGCACGCCATTTATGGGAGGGGAGAGGGGTGCAGCAGTGTCACTGGCTGGGCGCTGAACCGGCTGACGGATGAGGGGCATAGAGCGCAGCTGCAGGGCGATGGCGAGGCTGAACGCATGTGGAAACACATCCTCGACTCTGCGGTAAGGCCTGCAGAGGAGAGGAGAGGAGAGAGGGATCGCATACATAGATGTGTATCCCATGCCATGCCTGGTGTTGCACGGCACGCACAGGGTCGGGTCTACTGGCGGTTGCTGCACTCGTGGGTCAAGACCGGCACCCTCCTCGACCCCTGCGGCGACCTGCCCTTCTTCATCCACACCACACCCACACCCACACCCACACCCACCCCCGCCCCCACGTCCCCCGACACCCACCACCCTAGCTCAGAAGTCCGAATGCGTGACCCACTGCCCCTCCTGCCCACAGCATTTGCCCATCTTCTGCCCAAGTGCATCAGGGCCGGCACAGCGCGCCACCAGCAGATGAGCTGGACTGGCCAGTGCGGATCATGGGCTGCTGTTGAGAGTGGAGATGGTGCTGCTGTTTGGGATGATGATGGTGCGGCGGAGGTGGTGGTTCGTGAGGATGGTGCGGCGCAGGACGAGATGCGTGAGTTTGTGTTGCGCCAGGGGAGGCTGCTCGAGTACTTGGCCATCGTCAGGGCTCTCGCATTCTGCCAGGTGCCTACCTACACACATAGAGAGATTGCGCCACACCACACACGAATGCAATGCATCAACGACGGGTGCTGTCTGTGTTGTGCTATCTAGATAGCTGATGGTCTGGTGGGCCCCCTGATCGAGGCCCAGATCCAGGGTGGGCCCCACCCCCACCCTTCATCCTCCCTACAGGCATTCCAGCTGCTGGTCCACCACCACCTGCGGACACCTGCAGACGACCCCACCAGCCCGGCACACACACTGGTGTCATTCTGCGCCCAGGCGAGGGAGGGCAGCGCCCTCACTGCCGCCAGCTTTGCTGGGGCGCTGAGGAATGTGTCGGTGGTGGGGCAGGAGGGAGGTCGGGAGATGGCGGGGAAGGGGGTGGCGGACATACTCGGCGGAGTCAAGGTACGTTGTTGGGGCTGCGATCATCTCATGCATGTTATGAGATCGGTGTGTATGTGTATGTGTATGTGTATGTGTGCGCAGCTTCATGTGAGCGTGTCGCATCCGATCGACCTCATCCTGACACCCCAAGCACTGCATTGGTATGCACCACCGGAGCTGACGGAGAGCTGCATGCCGTACGTCTGTATGGTTGTCTGTCCGTTTGCAGTTATTCGCAAATATGGCAGCGGTGCCTGCTAATGGAGAGCGGCCGCTACCTACTCGGCCACTCCCTATTCGCCCTGCCCATCCTCACCCCTCAGCAACGAACAACCAACACCACAACAGCACACCACCCCTCCCTGTCCCCTCCCACACCCACACCCACATTCGTGTGGCAGACAGACGGCGCCCATTCGGCCAGCATCGAGGGAGACGAGATCGTCGGCCGCGCCACCCGGCTGCAGCAGGACGCGCAGCGGCTGCGTGTGGAGCTGCTGCACATCATCGGCTGCCTGTTGCGTCACGTCGTCAACCAGTCGGTGTTCAGCCCACACACATGGGGCGCGCTGCACCAGGCCGTCGTCGAGGCGGGATCGCTGCGGACCACGGCCGAGTGCCACCGAGGGCATCTGGACGGTCTGATGGAGAACGCCCTTCTCGTACCCGAGAGCCAGCCGATCAAGCACCTGGTGGCCGCGCCATTTGAGCTCTACGGCAGCCTGGCGCAGGCGTGTCGGAGCATCGATGAGGCACTGACCGACCACATTGGCCAGCAAGGCGACCATGAGGCGATGAGGGAGGAGAGGCAGATCTTCGCGGGCATTTTGGCGGGGCACGAGCAGAGGGAGGGTCGGGAGGGCCGGGAGGGCGTAGACGACGCTGCGAGGGGCAGCATGCAGAGCGGGGGGTCCTCTCCCAGAGTGGCGCCACCGTGCAGCAGGGAGATGCGGGACGTGCGCATCCTGGCGGCACTCAAACTGGCGGACACCACACTTAGAGGTCAGTCAGTGCCAATGGATGGACACACCAACAGCTGTTATCCACGCTATGTATGTCTTTGTATGTTGCTGCTGCGTCTGCAGATTTGCGGCGCGAGATGGGAGAGGATCTGCACGTGTTGATGGCCGGCGGCTCGCCAGAGGTGGCTGAGCTGCTGGATGCGCTCGACTTCAACGGATTCTACTCCCAGAAGCAGCGACGGGCGACCTATGTAGCTATATGACTGACTGTTGCAGGTGGAGTGTGTGTGGTAGGCACTCGTAGCAAGTACGTAGCTGGCAGAGCATGAGAGGGGACCGACAGACCATTAATGACGCCGAGAAACGGGTGTGGTGTGCAGCGAGGCGGGCGACAAATACATAGATGGATGGACAGACATGTGCATGGCATGCAGCCAGCAGACAGGCGAGGAATGGCAAGCCAGGTAGATGGCATGTTCGTTGGTTCGTGTGAGAGGCTGGCTGCATGACGGACGGGCCTTGTGATCGAGATGACGTTTGGACGCATCGGTGGCAGCTTTTCAGCGACTTATTTAAGCAGGGTGTTGTGATGAGTCCTGAGCATCCATCAACCCAATGGTCGATTCGTCTTTCCCCCTCTGCCGCTTCCTCCCTCCCTCCCTCCCTGCGTCCACCCCATCCGGCGTAGTGAGCGAGGTGAGTGCACAAATGACTTGTCAGAAAGCACCGCACCCACCCACCCCCAACCGGCCAGTCAATCAGCGAGCGATAGGTATAGGTATAGGTAGATACGCTATGCTATGCTATGTCTGTGCAGAACGGCCTCCCTCACACACATCCACACTCAACCGCGACAAGAAAAGAGCACTCATGCGCACCAGACCACACCCACATACGTGCAGCAGGGATTCCGTCAGGCAGGCAGGCAGGCAGGCATCAGACAGACAGACGGACAGCCTACCTACCTGCCTGCCTGCCTGCCTGCAGTGTTCGTATGCGCTGTCTCGTTCGCTGCGATTGCATTCATCACACTGACTGCATCCATGCGTGCGATGATTGACGTCCGTCAAGTGAGAATCAGACAGACAGACAGACAGCCAGAGCCAGAAACAAAGGCAGACAGGCCCATAAATCCTCCGGGCTGATTTGACTGTCACAACCACACACATCACATACGTCACACTCACGTCACGAATTGAATGGGCATGGGATGGCATGGCATGGCATCCAGATGAAAGGATGAGTGAGTGAGTGGGTCAACGGTGCAGCCCCCTCGATCTCCTCTTACACCCCCATCCCCCCCCCC